CCCTCTTCTCCAGAGTCATCTGGGTCCAGTGGCAAGATATAGATCAGGACAACTGGAGATGGCCTTGGATGCATTGGGATACCTTGGCCTTTTTAACCTAAGGTCTTTCCCAGGTTTCAGTTTATCTAAGGCAACATCCATTCAACAGTTAAATGCTTCATGATCTAAGAATGAATCACATTAGCAAAGTCTCCCTGGACAACTTTAGTTGCAATTGCATTTTGGTGTGCTCAATAATACTTGGAATCAGGGTGGCAATGGGTCAAAATTAAACATTATTTTGTTTGGTGAGGACATCTTTATAAAGGAGATGATTGCAGCATGATTCCAATCAGTTCAATTCAATTCAAAAGCATCTATTGAATACTTGCTGTGTTCTAGGCACTAAGTTAGACGTCGTGAGACTTCATTTTGTCAAATCGACCCAAGTGTACTAAACTTGATGACATCCATCATGGCTTGGCAATGATATGGTTAGGTTCTGGGAGGCCCCATACCCAGGGATGGCCTCAGATTCCCAGCATGGCACCTGAAAGAGTCTCCAAAGTATCACAAGCACAGATGGGCATAGATCCTTAATGGAGGGGCCTCAAAGCACATTCTAAATTCCAATCACTTTTACCTCAGGGTATGGACCCCAATTTCCTGATAACTAGCTCTAGCTCTAGCTGCTTGGGAAGATTCCTTCTAAAGCTAACTTAACTTGTGTTTCTTTTTTTAAAGTTGTATTTCAAACATGTGGAAGGGGGGTAAATCTAGCTTGAGAATCTATGGAGCAAAGCTGCAGACCAAGAATCTAGCCTGAGTGAGGGAGAATAGAACCATCTTTTTGGAAGGCAGATTAAAAACAAACTAATAAACATTTGGGTCCACAATGCAGCTTCCTGGATCTGCTGGCCACACTCAATCTTTCTGCACTGGAGGACTTAGAGAATGGCTCTGGTCTTGCTCTGGTCACATGATATCAGTGAAGCTCCTTGAACCCTTAGCTTTCATGGATCATGGTCCTCCTAACACTCCTCAGGCAGAACAGTCTTCCCTGACCCCATCAACTCTTAGCTCATGGCTCAGGCCTCCAGTACTCTGGCTGCACTACCACTTACCAATAGCAGGGTCTCATTCCATCAGGAGGTTTAGTCAGAAGTTAGAAAACACATCAAATAGAAGAAAAACCCACTTTAATCACTTATTATGTGCAAAAGGTTATGGATTCATAGACCTTAGCCAAATAGTTCCTGCCTTTGGGGAATTTAACATTAAATTGGGGTGAAGGCTGGTGTCTACAGAGTAGTTTCAAGAGGGAAAGAAAACATATATGGGAGGAGTAGCAGAAGCCTTCCCAATGGAATAGAACCTGAGCTGTGCTGCAAAGGAAGCTGGAGATTCTGCCTGGTAAAGGTGGGGAGGGCCTACATGGACATCTGAGGGAGCCATCTGTGCAAAGACCTGGCAATGAAAAAGCCATATGCAGGAAGAGCTAGCCTGCTGGCTTCACCAGAACAGAAAAGACAGAAAGCTGGTTAATATGGCATAAGCCTGGGAAGGTAGGAGGGAGCCATGTTGTGGAGAACATTAAATTCCAGGTTCAGGATTTTGTGTTTTGTCCAAAAAGTGACAGGAAGCCAGCAGAGATTTTTGGAGTAAGGGGGTGACAATGTCATATCAACTTAATGTACTAATATAAGTTCAAAATGGACCCATGAACTAAATGTAAAGGGAGATATCACAAGAAAACCAGAAGAACATAGAACACATTACCTATAAGACTCATGGATAGGTGAGTAATATGTGAGGAAAGTTGAGTTAGAGAACATTGGTGAGGTGTAAAACGGAAAATTTCAATTAATTTAAAATAAAAAATACTTGAATAAATAAAACTCACATAGCCAATATTAGAACAGAAGTAGAAAACTGGGAAGAAAACTTTCCTAGACAATCTCTCAGATAAAGATCTCCTTTCTCAAATGTATGGAGGACTTTGTCAAACGCATAAGAATACAAGTCATACCCCAAATGGTAAATCATAAAATGATATGAACAGGTAGTTTTTTTGATAAAGAAATCAAAAGTATAAATAATTTTATGGAAAAAATACTCTAAATAATTATTGATTGGAAAAGTGCCAATTTAAACAACTTTGAGATATCTGACTAGCTAAAATGATAGATGCCCTTCAACTGGGGAATGGCTAAACAAGCTGTGGTATTTGGTTGTGATGTTATACTACTACGATACAAGGAATGATGAGCTCATTTATTTAGAATAACATGGAAGGAATTGAACCTATCCACCTCTGGAGAAAGAACTGACAAATAGAAATATGTTTATAATGTGTATATGCATATATATATGTGTGCATTTATAGATATGTATGTATATGTATATATATTTTGTTTATTTGTAGCCTTTGGGGAGGTAAGGGAGGAAAAAAGTACACAGCAGAGAACAAAAGAAAACCTAGAAAGAAACACAGAGGAAAGCTTTAAAAACAATGTGTGGTATTCATTATATAGGTTTGCTTGAAACAGAAATTTATTGTTTTATATTAAATCCTCTCATTTTCTGCTGTCTATGTTATAAATGTTCTTTTTTTCTTTTCTCATTTACTATTTAAGTTTAAAATAAACAAAAATTAAAAAATAAATTTGTCACCAAAGCTCATGGTGTGCATTCCTTATGCCTCTTGATTTTATCCTCTGAAGCTTAGATTACTGGTAGTCATTATCCATGGGCAGCTGTTTACCTTTCTCCTCTGAGATATGAACTCTAACTCTACATTTTAAAAATTCTACTGATGGCACAGTGGATCTAACACTGGGCCTGAAGTTCAGAAGATCTGATTTCAAAATCCTGCATCAGACACTTATTAACTGAGTGACCCTGGGTAAGTCACTTGACCCTTGTTTGTCTCAGTTTCCTTCACTGTAAAATGGAAATAATAGCAGCTCCCTCACAGGGTCACTGTAAGAAGCAAGTGAGATGATATTTGTAAAAAGCTCTTAGTACTATACCTGTAACCATGAATGTTTCTCTCTCTTTCTCTCTCCCTCAGCCCTATTCTGTATGTATCTTTTTGATAGATAATTATTTACACATTATTTCCTCCATAAGAATATAAGATCCTTCATGTTAAAGACTGGTATGGTCTTTCTTTCTATCCATAGCACCTAGCACATTACTTGGCACATAGTGAGTATTTAAGAAATGTCAGTTGACTGACATGTCTGACCTACTAAACATGTCTGAAGTTTTCTCTATTTTCCAACTCTAATTTTCTTCTGCTATCCCATCTGGGTTAGACTCCTATTCTACCAGCTGAAATAATATTTGATCCCTAAACTTTGTCATAGAGTGAAATTTTCCCAGTTCATTATTTCCATAACTGTTACCTCAAAATGGGGTCTAGGTTATTATTTCCATAAGGATTAAAGGAATATAGGTTTAGAGGTAGAACAGAGCCAGAGGTCATTTACTCCAAACCATTTACTGAAGCCCACAGAATTCAAAGCTAATAATAATGTTATATGGAAGGAGTCTAGACCTAGTAGTCAACAAAGATCATGCAAAGAAATGTTAGAAACTACACAAAAAATCACTGTAGGCTGTAAATATTTAGCATTTATTGACCAAGATCTAACCAGGCTAGGTAGCTAGAATTATACACTAGAATCTTGCTATCTTTCATGGAAAAACTAATGACAAATGCCCTTCCTATAAATATAAATCTCAAAATATCCTTGACCTCTCACCCTACTCACTGCCCTAGAAGTAGAAGTAGATCATTATCACTGACTAAACTATATCCCACAATCACCTAGACATAACATTTATGCATAAAAACATAAGAACAACACTTTAATAGGGGCCATCACACCATGATCTCAAGATCTGTAAACTACATGGAATAAAAAGCACAGAGACTTAATAGGAGAAATTGAAAGCATGTCAGAATATCCAGAGGTACATATAATTCACACCACCCCTTACTCTACTAATGTTGCAGGTAGGGCAGTGGATAGCATTTTGAAGCTGGAGACAAGAGTACTCAAGTTTAAAACCTGCTTTAATAATGCATTAGCTCTGTGACAGATGGCAAGTTACTTACCCTTTTTTAGCCTCAGTTTCTTCATTAGTAAAATGATGATAATAACAGGTAGGTTGTGAGGATCAAATAAGCTAATGTACCAATTGCTTTTGCAAATTGAAAGAGCTGTACAAATATTAGTTATTCCTAGTATTGCAATTTGTCAATATCAGTAGGCCAGAGGATGAGCTTATATCATGATACTTTAATTTGGCTAGAAAAAGCAATTATTTTGTCTACCTTCAGAACATTAAATAGAAAAGATTGACAGTGGGATAGTGATGTCTCCGAGGATGATTTCTATTTGAACTCATTAGAACAAGAGGAAAAAAATGAGAGCAATAACTGGCAAATAGGATCACTCAGATTTTAATAGCTCTTAAGAGCTGACAAAGTAACCTTATCCCCAAATTATCTTATGTAAGTTGTACATTATTTTTCATTCCATTTTACAGATTAGGAAACTGAGTTTCAGCAAGATTAAGTGAATTTCCTCAAGGTTGCATTACTAGTCAATGGTTTTGAAATGGGTTGGTTAGACAACAGGTGTGGTGAGATGCTGTAATATATATCTCAAGGTCACAGGGGGAAGGGAGAGTTTTAAGAAAAAGAATAGAAGGGTCTAGTGGAAGGAAGGCAGTGTCCCAGGGGAAAAGCAGCCTTAATCACATAGTGATTGTGTCATTTGACCACCTGAGGGAGACTCACTGTTGAAGGCTGTGAGTGTGACTCATTTCTGACAGGAAAAACTTCTGACTGTGTTCAGAGATGTGGAAATCATAGGACTGCCCCCATCATGCAGATGTTTTGCATTCACTCTTTTCCCCAAACTCCTCCCTGCTGCTGAAAATCTTTATCAATAGGCTTGTCTTTCTGCTGGGGAAGGGATCAGCACTGGACAGAGGTCATTGTGGAGATGGCATCCCCAGCACAGCTCCTTTGTCTTCTGCTCCTGTGGCTCTCAAGTGAGGAAAGAGAATGTGGGGAGGAGATTATGGAGGACAGGGGGCTAGGAGAGGCCCTTTGTAATCTAAGTTTTGCTGCATTCACTGTCTTAATGAGAAGTCTTTGAGAGATGACATAGGAGTTAGAAGAAAGGGTCTTTGGTGAAAAGAATTCATTAATATCTGTGATCAGTGATTGAAGGGAGAGTTTGGGAAAAGACCATAAACAATGTTAGTTCTATAACCTCAAATATCTCTTGATTCATTTCAGGTTCACAAGGGGAAGTTGTTCTGACCCAATCCCCAGCCTCCCTGTCTGTGGCTCTGGGAGAGAGAGTCACCATCAACTGCAAGGCCAGTCAGAGCCTCTTACACAGCAATGGGTACACTTACTTACAGTGGTACCAACAGAAACCAGGACAACTTATTAAACTCCTGATTTACAAAGTTTCCAATCTATTCTCTGGGATTCCCTCTCGATTCAGTGGCAGCGGGTCTGGGACAGATTTCACCCTCACAATCAGCAGGCTGGAGCCTGGGGATTTAGCCATATATCACTGCCAGTAAAGCACTCATCGGCTTCCTACACAGTGCTCCAGCCCCAAACAAAACCTCCCCATATCATTCAATCCTGAGCTCAGAGAATAGCTGCTTTCCCCAGAGGCCTAGACTTACAGCAGCTGCTGTTCTGTATTCCAGATAGGGCTCTTCTTAGATCCCCTTACTATTATTAAACCCATTATTCAAGAACTAGCATGATGCGATGGAAATAGCCCTATTCTACCAGCTGAAATAATGTTTGATCCCTAAACTTTGTCATAGAGTGAAATTTTCCTAGTTCATTATTTCCATAACTGGTACCTCAAAATGTTTTGTGTTAGATGCATGTCTGAGATGACTTTTCTGTTTTGCACATTTCTCTTTCAAAGTAGAAATTCTTAGATTTAAAATAATGTTAACTGAATAAAACCATTCTGGCAGACTTGTGCCTAAAATATAGAGTATGGAACTAATTGTGTTCTTTAATGGAAATACTCCTTAGCTCACAGTTCCCCACCTTTTCCATGAGAACAGTGTGAGAAACTTAACTCAATGCTTTTCTGAATTCTAGATAAATTCTATAATGTGGCATTTCACTTAATGTATCAGTTCAGTGACCAGGTCAGAAAGGGGAAAAAAAGTTAGTCTGGCATGTCCTCTTTATGTCCATGTCCTCATTAAGCTTATGAACAAAACATCCCTTTCTAGCTACTCATTGCCTTACCCAGAACTACCTCAACAACTGTAACCGTCATACTCCTTGGTGACACTCCTGAATTTCTGTGCTCAAAGTGTTCCAATGTCTCTTTTCAGAAGCATTATTCCCTGTTCTGGTATCCTATACCAGGGACACAAAGATTCCATTGTGCTCTCCGATGTGTCTGAGCCAATTGCAAGCCCAGCTAAGCAGGACACGATGCCAATGCCATCTCTCAGGGAGATAGCTTCTGAGTTAGCCCTCAGGACAGTTTTCAGTCCAGAGGAAATCATAGTATGATAGATTTAGAGCTCAAGAAGACCTTACAGGTCTAAGAAACTATCCCCCTCATTTTATAATATTTCTGTTACTGTATAAATTGTTCTTCTGGTTTTGCTCATTTCAATATGAATCAGGTCACAAATTCTTCCCAAGTTTCTCTGAACCTGTGCCTGTGACTTCTTGTAATTCAGTAGTATTCTACTGCATGCATAAAAGACAATTTGTCCAGTCATTCACTAACTTATGGAGACTTCCTAAATATGTAGTTTGTTGCCACCCCAAAATGATCTCCTCTGAATATATCTGTATATTTGAAACTTTTTCTCTTGTATCTTTTTCATATATAAGCTTAGTAGCAATATTCTTGGTTCCAAGAGTATGCAGAGTTTAGTACCTTTTGGGGCAAAGTTCCCAATTGCTTTCCTAAAAGGTGAGAATAACAGTGCATTAATTTGCATTTTTCCTGCATGTCCTCACACCTTTGTAATTTTCTTTTATTTATAAACTTCACCCATCTGATGCCACCCTTTCCTTTAATAGAAGATGAAATTGAGGGCCAAAGAGGTCAGGGAACATGCCTAAAGTCACACAATTGTTAGATGTTTGAAGTTGAATTGGGATCCTGGTCTTCCTGAGACTTCAGGTCCAGTGCTCTATCTTGTCTGCCACACTGCCCCTCTATTTCATAAGTGAAAAAAATTAAGCCAGAGTGAACATCAGGGCAGTGCTAAAGGGTGAAGGAAATGATGGCCCAGCAGCTTCCAGGTGGAGAGTGTGATTCTGTAGTTGTAGTTGAGGTTCAATGTCTACAAATTGTCTAGGCTTCTGTTTGTCACTTGCTCTGTATCTTCCATAGGGCCCAACTTCATGTAGCTTGAAGAAAATATCATTCTGTAATCTTATGTTAGACTGAATTTGCATTGAAAATATCCTTTTGGAAATAAGCACCTACTGGGGCTAAGAAAATTGATATTCCTCTCTCTTCTTACAGCATCGCGCACACACAGACACACACACACACAGACACAGACACACACAGACACAGACACACACACACACAGAATCCCTCAGCATAAAAGAACAGATCTCTTTTTCAAGATTGGGGCCAAATGAGTAAAAACTTTTCATGTTTTGAGTACTAGGGATGAACTATCTCTTTTTTTTTCTTCAGATCTCCCCAAATAGCCAGCAGCTGGGTCACTACTTGGGGTCCAGTGAAAGTCTGTTACACAATACTGGGAACACTCGCCTTATCTTTCAGCTACAAAATGGGGAGAAGTTCCCAAGTTTTTTGCTTACTCTGTCTCCATCCTTCATCCCTTGATCCCTCCCTATTTCAGGAAGAGGAGCTGTATGACAGACTTCACTTCAACAATCAGTAGTTTGGAGGCTGAAGATTCAGAGAATTATTAATATCTGCGAGGCACTCAGTTTCCTCCCCATATGGCTCCATCCCATCGTCGTGTGCCAGAGGGCCATAGAGTTGTCTTCTCACTGGAAGCAGCAGTGTGATTTGGCAGGACCCTGGGTGTTTGAGCAGCCTTTTGTTTTGTTTTGTTTTTTAGGCAATTGGGGTTAAGTGACTTTCCCAGGGTCTGAGCAGCCTTTTAAAGATCGCACAGGAGATGGAGAACATTATGAAACACAAAATGGACAATGTTGATTACATTAAATGGAAAGGTTTTTGCACAAACAAAGCCAATGCAACCAAGAGTAGAAGGAAAGTAGAAAATTGGGAAAGAATTTTTACAACCAGTGTCTCTGATAAGGGCCTCATTTCTAAAATATATAGAGGATTAAGTCAAATTCATAAAAATACAAGTCATTCCGCAATTGATAAATGGTCAAAGGATATGAACAGGCAACAGTTCTCAGATGGAGAAATTAAAGCCATCTGTAGTCATATGAAAAAATACTCTAAATCACTATTGATTAGAGAAATGTAAATCAAAACAACTCTGAGGTACCACATCACACCTATCAGATTGGCCAACATGACAAAACAGGAAAATGATAAATGTTGGAGAATATGTAGGAAAATTGAAACACTAATGAATTGCTGGTGGAGTTGTGAAATGATTCAACCATTTTGGAGAGCAATTTGGAACTATGCCCAAAGGGCTATAAAAATGTGCATACCCTTTGACCCAGCAATAGCATGTCTAGGGCTATATTCCAGAGAGATCATACAAGTGGGAAAAGGATCCACATATACAAAAATATTTATCACAGCTCTTTTTGTGGTGGCAAAGAATTAGAAATTGAGAGAATGCCCATCACTTGGGAAATGGCTGAACAAATTGTGGTATATGAATATAATGGAATATTATTGTGCTACATGAAATGATGAGCAGGTGGGCTTCAGAAAAACCTGGAAAGACTTGTACGGTCTGATGTTGAGTGGAGTGAGCAGAACCAGGAGAATTTTGTACACAGTAACAGCCATGTTGTGTGATGACTAACATTGAAAGACTTAGCCTTTCTCAGCAATGCAAGGATCTAAGGCATCTCCAAAGGTCTCATGATGGAAAATGCTATCTACATCCAAAGAAAGAATTATGGAGTTTAAATGCAGATCCAAGTATACTATTTGCTATTTTTTTCTTTTGTTTTGTTTCTTCTTTCAGGTGATTCCTCCTATTGGTTCTAATTCTTCCTTACAACACCACTAATGTGAAAATATGTTTAATAGGAACATATATGTATAGCCTATATCAGATTGTGGCCTACTTGGAGAGGAAAGGGGAGAAAAAATTTTAAAACTCAAAAGCTTATGAAAGTGATTGTTGATAAGTCAAAACAAATTAATAAAAATTAAAAATCACACTGATTACCTCCTGGTGTGAGGAAGGGGCTAGAAAAGGTGCCCTAAAAATTGTTTGTATATCCAACCCTGGCTTAATTACTGCAGCAGGTGGAAATCCCACTCTGGTTGAAACACAAAAACAAATGTAAAAGAATGTCTGCAAAGATGATTCCACTCACCATCAGCATATGGAATGTGCACACACTAATAGACAACACAAAATCCAGTAGACCTGAAAGACAAACAGCTCTTGTTGCAAGAGAACTCAGCAAGTATTACCTCCAAAGAGCAGCGTTGTGTGAAGCAAGCCTGGCAAATGAAGGCCAGCTTACTGAAGCCAGGGCTGGAAACATGTTTTTCTGGACTGGCCACAGTGAAAAGGAATGCCCTGAAGCTGGTGTAGGTTTTGCAATCTAAACTAATCTAGTCAATAAACTTCTATGCCTACCAAAAGGAGTGACAGGCTCATGACAATGCAATTGCCATTTGCAGGAAAATGTCACACCACTGTCATCAGTACCTATGCTCCCACCATGATGAACCCTGATAAGGTCAAAGAAAAATTTTATGTTGACCTGAAGACCCTTATCATCAATGTGCCAAAAGAGGACAAGTTTATAATTCTGGGTGACTTTAATGCTAGGGTAGACTGAGACTGCCAGACTTGGCAGGGAGTCCCTTGGCAGGGAGACTTTCACTGGACCTCCAAGTAGTGACCCACCTGCTGGTTATTTGGGGAGATCTGAAGAAAAAAAGAGATAGTTCATCCCTAGTACCCAAAACATGAAAAGTTTTACTCATTTGGCCCCAATCCTGGAAAGCAGATCTCTACTTTTATGCCGAGGAATTCTCTCTCTTTGTGTGTGTGTGTGTGTGTGTGTGGCTATAAGAAGAGAGAGGAATATCAATTTTCTTAGCCCCAGTAGGTGCTTATTTCCAAAAGGATATTTTCAATGCAAATTCAGTCCAAGATAAGATTATGGAATGATGCTTTCCTTAAACTACATGAAGTTGGGCCCTAAGAAAGATACAGAGCAAGTCATGGACACACAGGAGGAATGTAGTTGGAAACAGCAACAGCAATAGTCACTTACTAATTAAGACTTGTGCATCTCATGATCTTCTCATCAACAACACTGTTTTTCATTTACCTAAATGCAATAAAGCTTCATGGATGTATCTTACAGCAACCAATGGCATTTAATAGACTATGTGATTGTAAGAAGGAGAGACAGACAGGCTGTGAGAGTGATGAAGGCAATATGTGATACAGAATGCTGGACTGATCATGGACTTGTCCTCTCCAAGCTAAATATTTACATTCAACAAAAGTGGAGATCACAAGACCAAATGACTACCAGAAGAATTAATGTCAACAGATTAGAGTTGGGTGGGAACAGTTTGTTGCTAACTTGGAGAGAAAATTGAGCCAACACATAGTTGGCAACAATGGAGCAGAAAATGAGTGGGCAGCTTTCAGAGATTTGGTGTATGGCACTGCATTTGCTCATCTGGGTCAGAACACTCACAAATATCAAGACAAGTTTGATGATAATGATGAGGAAATTCAGAAGCTGCCACATGAAAATCAAGAACTCACTAGGGTTTAACATTAGGATAGTTCATCCATCTCTAAGAAAGCAGCATTTAATTTCATCAAAAGTAAAGTGCAAGTGAAGCTTAGAAAGATGCAGGAATCTTGGCTCAGTAAGAAGACAGATGAAATTCAGTTCTATGCTGATAGAACAATCCAAAGTGCTTTTATGATGCCCTGAAAGCTACTTATGTGCCAAAGATGGATGGTGTATCTCAACTACCCAGTGCTGATATAGACACATTGGTTAGTGATAAGGACATGATCCTAGAGGGATGGGCTAAACACTTCCATAATATTCTCAACAGACCATCATCAATCAATGCTGAAGTCACTGACCATTTACTTCAGTTGAAGTCAGTCCCTCCATAGATGAAGTTCCAACTGAAGAAGAGGTTTTGAATGCCATTAGGCTCCTTTCATGTGGCAAAGCAACTGGTGCTGATTCTATTCCACTTGACCTTTACAGGGTAGGGGGTCCATTGCTCATACAAAGGCAGATTGAAATTTTCCAGGTTATTTCATATGGCAAGAGGGGGTTATCCCCTAGATATTCAAGGATGCCTCTATTGTCCATCTCTATAAAGGCAAAGGAAATAGATTGTCCTGTGAAAATCACAGGAGTAGGGGTCTCTCTTAATCATTACTGGCAAAATTCTTGCCAGAATACTTCTTAATAGTCTGATCCTTTACCTGGAAGATGGTCATATATCTGGGAGCCAGTGTGGTTTCAGAAAGGGTTGAGGAATGGTTGATATGGTATTTACTGCCCAACAACTCCAGGAGAAATTCCAGGAGCAGACCAGAGGTCTGTGCACAATGTTTGTAGATCTGACCAAGGTCTTTGATATTGTCATTCATGACAGCTTATGGAAAATTATGTTAAAATTTGGTTGCCCAGGGAAGTTTGTCAACATTGTGCATCAGTTTCATGACGGTATGCTTGCTTGGGTTCTAGATAACAGATGATGCTCTCATGCTTTCCCAGGCACCAGTGGAGTAAAACAAGGCTGTGTGCTTGCTCCCATGCTTTTTAGCATGATGTTTTCAGTCATGTTGTCAAATGCTTTCAATTAGGATGAACACAGCATCAAAGTCAGCTGCCAAACTGATGGTAAATTCTACAACTTGAAAAGGCTACCAGCCAAGACCAAAGTGGAGGGAGTGTTGGTGCATGTTTTTCTTTTTGCAGATGATTGTGCACTCAATGCAGCCTCTGAAGTTGAGATACAATGAAGCACTTGTCAATTCTTTTCTGCTCATGCTAATTTTGGCCTAACAATTAACACCAAGAAAACACAGGTGCCCCATCAGCCACCACCACAACTTCCATGCGTGGAACTACCAGTTACAGCAAATGGAGAAGTCTTGAATGCTGTGAATAAGTTCATTTATCTTGATAGGTTATTTTCAAGGAATGTATACATTGATAACGAAGTTGATGCACACATTGCCAGAGCTAGCTCAATGTTTTGGAGGCTCCAAAGGAAGGTGTGGGAGAGAAGAGATATTAGACTGACTACCAAACTGAAGGTCTACAGAGCCATTGTGCTGACCTCATTGTTGTATGCCTGTGAAACTTGAACAGTATACCAGCACCATGCCAGGAAGCTGCCTTCCATTTGAATTGTCTTAGGAAGATTCTGAAGATCACCTGGCATGATAAGATACTAGACATTGAAGTCCTTTCTCAAACTAAACTGGCAAGTATTCAAACTCTACTTCAGAAATGCAACTATAATGGGCTGGCCATGTTGTTAGAATGCAAAATGTATGCTAGCCCAAAAGACTGTTTTATGGAGCACTCACACAGGGCAAGTATTCACATGGTAGTCAGAAGAAGTGATACAAGGACACTCTTAAGAATTTTGGAATTGTGTGACATGGGAGACAATGACACAGGACCCCTCAGCATAGCGAGGCCCACAACAGAGAAGGTGCTGGGCTCTATGTATAAAGTAGAATTGAAATAGCCCAAAAGAAATGCAAGATACAAAAATTTAGAGAATCCACCCCAAACGTTCACATAGACTATTTGTGCCCGAACTTTGATAGAATATTCTGAGCTCACATTGGCCTAATCAGTCCTTGTCAGACATACTGTAATTTGACTCCAGTAGAGTGGTGTCATTTTGGTCCTTTTTGAGGATGAAGGACAATAACCAATAGTTGACAAAGTAATCTTACCCTCAAATTATCTTCTATAAATTGTACATTGTTTTTTTTTTTCATTTTACAGATTAGGATACTGAGTTTTAGCAAGATTAAGTGAATATGCAGAAGGTTGCATTACTAGTCAATGGCTTTGAAATGGGTTGGTTAGACAAAAGAAAGTGTGGTGAGATACTTTAATATATATCTTGAGGTCAAAGATGAGAGGTAGAGTTTTTTTTTATTTTTAATTAATTAATTTATTTTTAGTTTTCAACATTCATTTCCATAAGATTGTGAGTTCCAAAGTTTCTCTCCATATCTCCTCTCCCCCTACCCAACATGATAAGCATTCTGAATACCCCTTCCCCCAATCTGCCTTCCCTTCTATCACCCCCCCCTTCTCTTATCCCCTTCCCCTTCTATTTTCTTGTAGGGCAGGATAGATTTCTATACCCCATTGCCTGTATATCATATTTTCCTGTTACATGTAAAAACGATTTTTAACATTCATTTTGGGCTTCAAATTCTCCCCCATCCTCCCTCCCCACCCACCTTCATTGAGAAGGCAAGCAACTCAATATAAATTATACATGTGTAGTCATGCAAAATACCTTGATAATACTCATGTTGTGAAAAATGAACTATATTTCCCTTCCTCCTATCTCACCCACTCCCATTTATTCTCTCTTTTGAACCTGTCCCTCCTCAAAAGTGTTTGCTTCTGATTGCCCCCTCCCCCAATCTGCCCTCCCTTCTATTCTCCCCCCACTTTTATCCCCTTTCCCTCTATTTTCCTGAATGGTAAGGTAGATTTCCATACCCAATTGAGTGTGGATGTTATTCCCTCCTTAAGTCAAATCTGATGAGAGTAAGATTCACTCATTCCCTCTCACCTTCCCCCACTTCTCCTTCACTGTAAAAGCTTTTTCTTGTCTGTTTAATGTGAGATAATTTACCTCATTCTACCTCTCAGGAAGGGAGAGTTTTTGAGGAAAAGAATGGAAGGGGCTGGGCCTTGATCATGTAGTGATTGTATCATTTGACCACCTGAGAGAGACTCATTGTTTGAAGGCTGAAAGTGTGACTCATTTCTGACAGAGGACACACTGGGAAGAATGGTTGAATAAATTCAGACATGTAGAGATGATAGGACTGCCCCCATCATGCAGGTGTTTTGCATTCACTCTTTCCCTCAAACTCCTCCCTGCTGCTGAAAATCTTTATCAATAGGCTTGTCTTTCTGCTGGTAAAAGGATCAGCACTGGACAGAGGTCATTGAGGAGATGGAGCCCCCAGCCAAGTTCCTTTGTCTCCTGCTCCTGTGGCTCCCAGGTGAGGAAAGAGAATGTGGGGAGGAGATTATGGAGGACAGGAGGCTGGGAGAGGCTCCTTGCAATCTGAACTGTGCTGGATTCACTGTCTCAATGAGAAAAGTCTTGGATAGATGATATAGGAGTTAGAAGAAAGGGGCTTTGGTGAGAATTAATCAATTTTTTGTGATCAGAGATTAAAGGGAAAGTTTAGAAAGGAGCACAAACAATCTTGGTTCTATAATCTCAAATGTCTCTTCATTAATTTCAGGTTCACAAGGTGAAGTTGTTCTGACCCAGTCACCAGCCTCCCTGTCTGTGGCTCTGGGAGAGAGAGTCGCCATCAACTGCAAGGCCAGTCAAAGTGCACTACATAGCAATGGGCACACTTACTTTCATTGGTATCAACAGAAACCAAGACAAGCTCCTAAATCCCTGATTTATGAAGTTTCCAATCTGTCCTCTGGGGTTCCCTCTCGATTCAGTGGCAGTGTGTCTGGGACAGATTTCACCCTCACAATCAGCAGGCTGGAGCCTGAAGATTTAGCCATCTATTACTGTCGGTATGGAACTCACTGGCTTCTACAAAGCGCTCTAAACTTGAACAAAACCCCCCCCATATTATTCAGCCATGAGCTCATGGGAAAAGCTGCTTTCCCCAGAGGCCTAGACTCACAGCAACTGCTGCTCTACATTCAAGATAGGAGTCATCTTAGATCCCCTTACTATTATTTACCTCATTGCTCAAGAAGCAACATGCCATGCTGGAAATAGCCCTTGACCAACAAGGACTTTTGTTCTACCAGATGAAATAACATTTTATCTCTAAATTTTGTCATAGGGTGAAATTTTCCTAGTTCAATATTCCCATAACTGTTACCTCAAATGTCTTATGTTAGATACATGCCTGAGATGACTTTTCTGGTTTGCACATTTCTCTTTCTAAGTAGAAATGCTTAAATCTAAAATAATGTTAACTGAATAAAAACCATTTCTGGAAGACTTGTGCCTAAAATACAGAATATGGCATTAATTTTTTTCTTTAATGGAATTATTCCTTAGCTCACAGCTCCCCACCTTTTCCATGAGAATAGTCTGAGAAATTGAACTCAATGCTCTTCTGAATTCTAGGTAAATTCTGTAATGTGGCATTCCACTTGATGTATCAGTGAAAAGGAAAAAAAGTTAGTCTGGCATGTCCTGGTCATGTCTATGTCCTGATTAAGTTTATGAACAAAATATTCCTTTCTAGCTGCTCATACCCAGACCTACCTCATCAACTGTGACTCTTGCGCTACTTCACATGGATTTTTGTGCTCAAAGTGTCCCAGTGTCTCTTTCCAAAAGTATTATTCCCTGTTCTGGCATCCCATCCCAGGGACACAAAGATTCCATTGAGCTCCCCTAATGTCTCTGAGCCAGTTGGAAGGCCAGCTAAGTAAGACATGATGCCAATGACATCTTTCAGGGCCACAACTTGAGAGGCTTTTTTGTCATTACTAGAGTTAGCCCTCAGGACAGTTTAAAGTCCAGACGAAATCATAAGATCATGGGTTTAGAGCTCAAGAGGACCTTACATGTCAAAAAAAAAAACTCACCCCTTTCCCCAATTTACAATATTTGTGTTACTGTATAAATTGTTCTTCTGGTTTTGCTCATTTCACTCTGAATCAGTTCACAATTTCTTCCCAGGCTTCTCTGAACCTGTGCCTGTGACTTCTTGTGATTCAGTAGTATTCTACTGCATTCATATATGGCAATTTGTCTAGTCATTCTCTAATTTATGGAAACTTCTTAAATGTTTAGTTTGTTGCCACCTGGCTATTATTAAGAGAGGCTCCCTTAAACCTCAAGTTTTGCCAGACCAACCTACCTGACTCTTAAGAGAGGAACCATCCAGGTCCTTCAGAAAATTCTCTCCTCTCTCTTACCTTTTTCATGCCTCTGACAGGTAAGGCTACAGCTCACCACATCTACTTTCACTTATCTTGCTCCTCCACCTCCCCACTGAACTGTGCCTATTAAAGTGATATCATTACTGAAAATAGCTGTAGCCAATTTGAGCTGTAGCCACACTGTGCCACCTAGCTGTCCCCATTGCCATTCATTCTTGAGAATGATACACACTGACTTTTCATTTCCAATGCTCTATAAGACTGTATTTTCACTTCAAAAATCAGTAGGTTGGAGGCTGAAGATTCAGAGAATTATTAATATCTGCAAGGCACTCAGTTTCCTCCCCATGCACCATTAGCCACTCCTCAGGTGCCAGCAGGCTGGTCACCAAGGCTTAACAGTCCCAACTACTTCCTCTTTCACAAAATTGTTATGGAGATACTCAGGTGCTGAGTCTCTGAAGCTGCTTGAATCAAAGTTGTAAGAACTAAGGGTTGTCACTGCACCCTGTAGCCCACTGCCCAAACAAATACTTGTGAAAGAATTACCCCACCTATGTCCAAATTACATCCCAGCTTCTGTGAACTTCTCCCCAGTCTATTTCTAAAAAAATGTAGGTACTGAAAACAACACAACATGACACAAAACAAAAACTTTACACTGATGTCTTCTCCTCATTTCTGTCCTCCAAGTTCCACCTACCTACTCATTCCTGATGCAGGGAGTGTTTTTTTCAAGCAGAAACCCCAAAATCTGAAATAGTTTCAGAAAGAAAATTGTCTGATCTTTTGGTAGAGGAGAGCCAGGTGGAAATGAAGTGCAGTTCCCTCTCCCCCAGGTTCTGGAAGGATTACATCATATAGGATTTTGACTAAGGTATTCATGAACCATGCACAAATCACATGTACTTCAGGTAAGCAATTTCACCCAGAAGGCAACTTAAAATCAGGTAGATTAAGATGGATATGAATAGATGTAAAAAATAAAATTTGAATGAAACCCAAAAACAAGGCCAAATCCCTAAACCAAAAATATAAGCTTGGGTGAACCAAAAGAAGCCCTGGGTGTGGTAACCCAAAAGAAGACAATTTTGGAAAGATTCTAGACCTGATTTATCAACAAACTCCTTGTAGTTATCTCAAGCATTCTTGAGAGTGACTGAGATCAGGGGATATTCTGGGCACCAGCAACCTCTAATCTTACAATGTTGCATTTCAACAATAGAACAATTAATAAGGTTTCTGAACAATTCAATGAAGCATTCTTTCCACAAGAGTATGCTCTTGTTTCCCTGTCCCAGAAGTGACTTGCTCCATTGGCCACATGCCCCTCAAAGTCCTCTGGCCACCACTGAGGGTTAGAGATATCTTCCTCTCTACTGCTTTTGCCCTGTGCCTTAATTCTATGTGTGTTTCACCTCTGTTCATTGCCAGTGACTATCACTCTAGTAGCATTCCACCAATTAACATCAAATAGCATTTAGAATGGGATATTTACTTTGAAGATATTGCAGTCACAAAAGTACAAGCATTTCTCTCCAATACCAGGAGGGCATGCTCTCCTCTATACTGTCTTTGACTTTGTGAAGTGTGGTCTCAGACTTCATGTAGTTTCCACATAGCATTGGACCGACCAAGTTCTTGTCTAGGTTTGTCATTGATGCTGAATGAGTCTTTGTGTTTAGCTAGTTCTGGGCTAGGTCCTGAAAGCCTCTGCTTCCTCCTTAGGACATTCATCTTTTGCAGGCTACAAAGCCTGGTATGGACTTGATTCCTGAAGGCTAAGTCCCCTGGACTCCCCAGTGTCTCTCCCCTGACTTTTCAGAGTTCCCAAAGTCATAACTTCTGATTCCTTCATCTAATATGAACAAACAAATATGAAGGCAGTCAAAGAACCAAGACCTGTATTCAAAGTTACATTTTGGGCTTGATAGGTAGAGTTTTTGAGGCCTCCTAACCTTAGATGACAGCATAATCTCTTAGCAAATGACTATGTAGCAAGAAGAAATCAGAGGAAGAAATGGGGTCAAATCAAGAGAAAGTTCTGACCGAGAGAAAGAGGCAGGAACCAACAAAGGTCTTTTAAATGTACCCCATATTCTAGTTCTGTAATTACAGTCAATTTAAGAGTCTGATATTTAGGCCATCTTAAGCAAACTAGAACTGGTTGCTGAATGTATACCTATGATCCAAAGTCTCTCCAAGGCACTTCCATTATAAATTATCAGGACTCTTCCTGAAACAGGCTCCCTGACCACTTTCCCATGGGGAAGTGCATCATCTGAGCATACTTATGCTCTCTGCATAGGTTGGCAAGGACTGGGCTTATTGGCCAAGCCTTAGCTCTACTTGCAAGTTAACAATTCTGTAGTCGTTGAGTCACTTAATACTTCCTATGTGCAAATCAGTTTGGCAAACCTCCCAGATACTGTTCCTACTCTAACAGAGTTTATATTCTACTAAGAGTGGGCAAAAATGTTTTGTAGACATTATTCTCATGTATAGGTAGTAAGCCAGCTAGGTGACACAGTGCATAGAGTGCCTGCTCTGGAGTCAGGCTCATCTTCTTAAGTTCAAATCTGGCCTCAGATACTTATTAGCTAAGTTACCCCTGGTGGGTAACTTACTTGATGCTTTTTTTTAACCTCTGTTTCCTTAACTGTAAAATGGGAATAATAATAGCAGCCACCTCATGGCATTGTTGTGAGGGTTAAATGCGATAATATTTGTAAAAATTGCTTAGCAGAGTGCTTGGAACTATATGAATGCTTATTTCTTTCTCTCTCCATCAGTCCAACTCTGCATATATCTTTTTATATCTAATTATTTCCTCCATTAGAATACAAGATCCTGATGTTAAGGACTTTCTTTCCACCCCCAGTACTTAGCATGGTACTTGCCACAGAGTGGCACTTAAGGAATGCCAGTTAACCATCTGAGCAGATACTTACCAGACAGGTCTAGAATTTTCTCAGTTTTCCAACACCAATTTTCTTCTGCTATCCCATCTAGATTAGAGGACAAGGGAAGTACTCAGAGGTTAAGCTAAATCCTAGGAACTAGGTCATTACTTCCATGAGGGTTAAAGAAGTATAGGTTTAGAGGTAGAGTGGAGCCAGAGGTAATTTAGTCCAAGCCATTTACTGAAGGTCAGGCAATTTGAAACTAATAATAACAAGAGTTATGATGTGGTTTAAGAGATTCAGGGACCCTCCAAGGACTGAAGTACAGGACAGGGTCATTTGGAATGAATTCATGGAATCAAGCATTCTTCAAGTCAAGTTGGCAAAAGTTTATTATAATGTTAATATGGCAGGCAGCACTCCCTAAGGAATTCTGCCAAGGTGGGAAGAGCTCCTTAGGGAACTTGCAACCTAATAGGAATGATGCTAAAGCTTATATAGGAAAAGCAGTGGATTATGTAGCAAGTATGCTAATTAGGTGATAACATACAACCTTGGTCACAGGCATCATTCACTACTGGAAACCAGAGAGGGGGATTTTGAAGGGGTGTATTTTTGGTCTGTTAAGTCTGTTACAAGATAGTTTTGGGAGTTGATGTCTATAATTTGACTTCTGGATCATATATGATAACTGTGGGAATTAGTACATGATAGTTTTGTTGATACAAGACAGTCTCATTCATATAAGGGCATTCTATAGAGGTCAGCTTCTTCCTGTAACAGGAAGAGATAGTGAGATAGTTTACTTCACTGGGCCCTCTTCTGAGTTATTGCCAGAGATAGGGTATTTGACCTGGGGAGAAAATTGTCAGGGATACTGTTCTGAGGCTAGGGAGAAATATGATCTTGGAAGAGGGGTCTGAGTACAAACACCCAAGCACTCCATCAATTTAAACAGGAGTCTAGACCTAGTAGT